ATGTTTTTTTTGTTTGTCCAGAGGAATTGTGAATGTTAATAATTTCCGAGAGCGCCCTGGTATATTTATCGTCAACATATGTATCTTTTTATTTTATCTGATATCTTCGTGAATACATTAATGGTTTCTTTCTTATCGCCGGGAATTGGGGAAGGACGGGTAATTTTGGGTTTGCTCAATCTTACTGAATTCAGCCTAATTAATCTAGGGATCGATTCTCCTTGGAATTATCTCAAAACAAGTTCCTTCAACGCATTTCTTTTTTAAATTTTCTTCTCAGATTTCCAATCCATCTCTCTGGAATTTAAACAATTATCCTCTTTTAGTAAACTCTCTCCTTTTCCTTCTTTTTTTCTTTCTCTTTTTGTTTGATCAACCCCCGGAGATTCCATGGCGACAACATCGTTTAACATACTGGACTTCTCAAATTTAAGGGTTATGTTGTTTTTGGACGTTTTTTATATCTGATTCAACCTTTGTTATCAAACGGTATAATGATAGGTGCCTTAAACGGCCACTTCTTTGGATCTTTTTATTAATGCGGGTTTCAACAATGGCTCATATCCTTGAACTTCCTCTGTTCCTTATCTTCATCAAAGAACTTCCTGATGTTATCAGGTTCCTAAAGTTACTTATGCTGATGAGACAACAATTTACGCCTGTCTTAATGCTTTTTTTTTCTTTTTTGAAACGTTCGACGAAATAAAATTTTAAACTGAACGCAAAACTGGCCAACAATCTGTTATGCATTAAATCAAGAATTGACATCTAAAACAAAATGTCTATTAACTATCATAAAGAACTGTTTTTGACTTCCATCAATATGCTTGATGCTAATCTCCAGTGGAGTAAGTCATTGCGTTTTGAATTGCTCTAGTTTATCCCAGACATGGAAGGGAATGATTATATCCAATAAAACTCTGCACGGGAGGTCAGTTCACTGTGTCGCAAATCTATAAGTCCGTGTCTTGAGTACTGCTGCTATCATATCTTGCCCTTATCTACCTATAGATTCCTGACAAAATCCAAAGAAAAATCTGCAATTTTATCGGTCCTGACTGGCCTCTCGGCTTCAGCACATTCCGACTGTCGTCCTGGGTATGACGATAAACTACATCCGATATCAAGCCCACTGACCGGCAGGTTGAAAGGGTTCTAATCGTGGAACCACCTCGTAATTGTTGTTGTTCCCAGGTCCACCTTTACCGGGGGTAGAAGCACCTGTTAGGGGGTCTTGGCTATGGGTAAATAGTGAACCTCTAAACAAAAATCAACAGTACATTTTTATAATAAAATGACTAACAATACATTTCTATATCAGAATGACAATCAATCCAACGCTATAAAATCTGAAAGATTTATTTTTATTGTAAAATTACCAAAGATTCTTTTTATGATATACAAAACATATCTAAAGAACATACCGTTATAAACAAACAATAACAAATAACCAACATGAAAGTATTTGTTTCATGACATTAATCCATATAATATTGTACAATTTATTAAAGAAATCAAATTGAATTCCAAAATATAAATTCAAACAATCTACAACATAAAACACATGTATCTCCGTCTCTGGTAATTATGTTCACATAAAAAATGTATTTAAACATATATTGTTAAATATAAGAGACAATGAATGTCAATTATGTCTGATCAGGAGCCGTTTTAAACTTCGTATATTTGGTTTAATTTCGGGTGAAAATAAAGAGAAAAAAATGTCCAACATTTGGATATGCATTTATTAAAATAATAAGAATTAATGTTCGACAATTGTTGTCTTTATTTTCACCCTAAATTATAGCAAACATACGAAGTTTAGAACTGCTCCTGATCTGACATAATAGACATTCATTGTCTTTTATATTTAACAATATATGTTCAAATAATGATTTGCTGCCCCAATACACTAACTTCAAGTTACAAACATTTATATGCATAAAAGTTGAGTATCATCTACCATGTATTCAACTGTGAAAGCAGAATAATAAATGTCATAATTTTGTTACGTCAAGTCTTCCGAGAAAACGAAATTTTGGCATTAAATGACCCATGAAGTGTTGATATGCCCGAAAACAAATACATCTAGCAGTTAACTTTCCTACTGTCGTAGATTTCACCCTTGTCACTTCTATTAATATTTTCACAATCTTTCAGCTTTGCACATCAAATTCACGAATTTAAAGGTAGAAAAAAAGTTCCCTTGATCAAAAGAGAAAACAATTCACTAATAAGAAAATGTTTAGAGAGTACCCTGATTGCTAGATCATCCACAGTAAATTTGAGCCCTGGATGTTACAACATTTCACAATTTCTGACAGATCTTCTATTAACAGAATGTGAGTTAGGGTCAGCAAAAGTGATGGAAACAAAATGAAAAGGAAAATAATCTATATGAAATCGGCTAGATTAAATCCCCAAAACATCGCACCAACATAAACAAAATCTGTCCGATAAAGAAAAAAAGCGTTACACACACACACACACACACACACACACACACAAACACACACACACATACATATATATATATATATATATATATATATATATATATATATATATATATACACACAGTGGGGGAAATAAATATTCGTACACTTGAAAAATTGTACTTATGTAAATGTAAAAAGCTTAACTAAAACAAATTTTGATGCATTTTATGTGTAAATATACATTTTATAAAAAAAAAATAATAATTCTTATTCTAACAGAAATTAATGCAATTATTTTTCATTTTAACTGATGAAAAAAGTATTCGTAGAAAACAAAAAAAGCATATTAGTTTAATATTTTGTGGAATACCCTTTATTGAGTTCAACAGCTACCAGTCTATTCCTGTACGTTTCAACTAATGATTTGCACACATTGAGTGGTATTTTGTCTCATTCTTCTTAGCATATTGTCTTCAAATTCTTGATATTTGTTGGTGCTCTTTTCCCAATTTGAATTTTCAAATATCGCCATAAATTTTCGATTGGGTTCAAGTCTGGGGACTGACTTGGCCATTGCAAGACATCAACGTTACTTTCAGATAACCATTTCCTTGTAGATCTAGCGGTATGCTTAGAATCATTATCCAGTTGGAAAACCCAATCAGGATGTAGCCGAAGTCTCTCAACAGAACGCATTAAATTGTCTTGCAGGATTTTCTGGTATCTTTCGGAATTCATCTTGCCATCTATTATTGATATTCTGCCAGCACCTTTTTCAGAAAAACAGCCCCAGATCATGATACTGCCACCACCAAACTTTACAGTTGGCAACGTGTTCTTTGGTAAGTAGGCTTCACCGCCTTTCCTCCACACATGATTTCGTAATTATGACCAAACAACTCTATTTTAGTTTCATCTGTCCATAGGACTTTTTCACAAAACGAATATTCTTTATCCTTATGCTCTCGAACGAATTTTAGCCTAGAATCTCTGTGTTGTTTCAAGAGGAGCGGAGTCTGCCTTGAGATGCGTGATTTCATACCGTTTTTGTGTAGTTCATTACTTATTGTACGCTTGGTTACTTTAATCCCTAATGACGCAGATGTTCCTGCAGCTTTTCTCGGGTAACCTGTGGATTCTGTTGGATCTGGCGTCCTAATATCCTTGCTGATCTTAGAGAAATCTTCCTCGGAGCACCTGTTCGTCTTTGGTTTTCGACGCTGTTACGAGTTTTAAACCTAGCAATGAAGGAAGCAGTTGTAGTAAAAGGAATATTCAGGTTGTTAGAAATCAGTCTGTAACTGTTCCCATCTTTCCAAAGAGACAAAATGTGTCGTTTTTGTGAAATAGTCAATTCTTTACCTTTAGGTATTATTAGAACCTTCTCGTAAGACTAGAAATTGCAGAATGCTCTGGTAATGGCTAATAGAGTTAACTATAATTACTGATAACTGGAACATTCTAGAATATACTTTTTTTCATAATTAATTGATAATTTAATTCTAATAATTGATTTGTACGAATACTTTTTTCACCAGTTAGAATTTTTAAAAATGCATTAATTTCTGTTAGAATAAGAATTAATTAAGTTTATTATTAATTCTTAATAGTATGTGTCTTTAGTCTTTATACATAAAATGTGCCGAGATTTGTTTTATTTAAGGCTTTTACATTTATAAAAATACAATTATATACATATATAGTAGAATCCCTGACAAGCGAACTAAGAAGACCTTCCGGATATGAGGAATTGTTTACAAAGTCTGGATATGAAGGGTTATATCTAGATTAAAATAAAAGAACTGAAATCAGTTTTAACATTCATTTTCAATATTTTATGGTAAACAAAATAAGATAATGGTGAGTGAAATATAACGGAATTGATTTTAAGGAAAAATAAATAAATTATGTAATGTTAATGAAAATTCATTAAATTAATTATGCCCCGTATGCAAATCAAATAATGTAACGAGGATTTTTTAATCGCTGTTGCATGATGATTCTTTCTCTTCTAATGTCATTCTCAATTTTTCCGCATATCATTTTGCTTTTGTTCTTGAATTTTTTTTAAACGACAGACACTTTCTTTTATTGCAATCGTCATAGCTGAATGCTGGCTTTCTTTCCATAAAACTGACAAACTTTACAATAGCTTTTTCAATTTCAGTCCAGGTTTCATGATAATCATGTTTTTAATTTTCTTGTTCGGTGTGAAAAGGTGAACGCTGGAGAATAGTTTCTTTGGAAGATTTTATATCATACAATGATGACATTCCTATGTTGAACTCAGCCATTAGTTACAATGAACTTTCACTAGCGTCTAGTCTGTTTAAAATTTCCACTTTTGCGATAACTCCAAAGTTGTTCTTTTCCTCTTATTCCCATCATCTTTTGTACCAATAGAAGCCATTAGCTTGAAATAAGCTTAAGCAATTATTCTAAGTTAATTTCCTGAACAACAGAAATTTCAACTCAGTTATCAGCAAAATAGTACAATTGTACACATCAAAATCATGTCCTGATATGCGGGATTCCGGATTTGAGGAACTCCGTAAATGAAGGATTCCGGATATGAGAGATTCTACTGTATATAATACTAGGACTTAATCACTTATATGTAAAATTACATTTTATTCAACTTCGGCTTTATTTACTGTCTGTCGGCTTGTGGGTCTGGTCATTGGGTTTTTTACCAAACGGGGTTTCTACATTCTTGACAAGAGGAAATGCAGCGTTTTTCTTCTCAGTCAACGTTTATACATCTACCAATCTAATGGCTTTCCCCGCGCGTACAGATCTTAGTTGCAGCGTATTATTCTACGCATTTACGTAGTAGGATATGCACTTAGTGACTAAGAAGTAATATCTCTATAGTCTCTTTTAGTATTATCAAAGGCTGGTTACATGCAATCTATTTATCTCAATATGGTCATTTCTATCTATCTATCTATCTATCTATCTATCTATCTATCTATCTATCACAGTTTGGTCAAATCTCTCTGTCTATCTGAGTCTTATCTATCTATCTCGATTTGGTCAAATCTGTCGGTCTCAGAATTTTCTTATCTATCTATCTATCTATCTATCTATCTCAGTGTTGAAACTTGACTAATGCATGGAATAATAATGCAACACAAAATGTACTTAGAACAAAATGCATTGAAACAAGAAAGTGTACACAATATTTACATATAGTCTTTTGTATATTCCTGGTAAGACCGTTCCTGGAGAATGTGTTGACTGAGTCGCAGTCGGGCAGAGTCTCTGGTTGAATCTCTTGATTCCCCCCTCTCTTCCCGGTACCAACCATATTTATATGGTCGGTACTCCACTATGCAAATTAGGTGGATCCTACGACAACACTCAGTGTGGTCAAATCTTTCACAGTTTTTTCTTATCTATCTATCTATCTATCTATCTATCTATCTATCTATCTATCTCAGTGTGGTCAAATCTGTCACAGTCTTTTCTTATCTATCTATCTATCTATCTATCTATCTATCTATCTATCTATCTCAGTGTGGTCAAATCTGTCACAATCATTTCTTATCTATCTATCTATCTATCTATCTATCTATCTATCTATCTCAGTCTATTCATATCTATTTTTCCATCTCCTAAATAATCTATTTCAGTGGTTTCATATCTATATATCCATCTGTTTATCCATCTATATATCTACAGGGTGCGATTTTTTATTTCGCGCATGCGTGTTTTTTGATTTTGTCGACTGTTATCCATAATAGGTTCAGTTGATCGCCCTCTGCGAAAATGCACACCATGACGGAAGTCACTCCTCCAGATATATGGAAACGGCATACTGTACTGTTTGGCATTCGCGCCGAAAGTCCCAATATGAACCTATCAGAGTCTTTGGGTATCAATCTGAGGACAATGCATAGGATTCTGAAAGAGTTGGATGTGTCTAATGCGGATTACGATAGTGTTTGGAATGATCCCAACTGATGGCGATGAATCTTCTATTCATCCTCCCACATGACACTCAGACTCAACTTGGAGGCCTACATCAACTACCTGTAGTGAGTAGTGCTGCCCTGGGTAAAGACGGTGGCTGATGGAAGAGCCTATGTCTGGCAATCAGAACTCAGTCATTGCTTTCAGACAATTTCTACGACCACATTACTTCTTACATCTGGCCATCTAATTCATCAGACTACAACTCACGCGTTTATTATGTGTGGAGCGCAGTTGAGCAAGAGACCAAAAAAGGTCCTTGTAACATCAAAATGAACTGAAGTCAAGCTTTAAGGCAGCATTCACCAAATTACTCAGTCTGTTTATATCCATTTTTCTCAGCATCTTCATATCTATCTATCGTTCTGTCTGTCTATCTTTCTATCTATCTATTTCAGTCTTTTCATATCTATCTATCTATCTATTTCAGGCTTTTCATGTCATTTTTATCTATCTCTCTATTTATCTATCTCTCTATCTATCTATCTATCTATTTCAGTCTTTTCATATCTATCTATCTCAGTTTTTTTCATATCTATCTATCTATTTCAATCTTTACATATTTATCTATTTTAGTCTTTTCATATCTATCTCTCTGTTTCAGTTTTTCATAACTATCTATTTCATTCTTTTCATATCTATTTATCTATCTACCTATCTATTTCAGTCTTTTCATAACTATCTCTCTATTTCAGTCTTTTCATATCTATCTATCTATATATCTATTTATCTATCTATTTCAGTCTTTTCATATCTATCTCTCTATTTCAATCTTTTCATATCTAACTATCTATTTATTTCAGTCTGTTCATATCTATCTATCTATTTCAGTTTTTCAGATCTATCTATCTATCTATCTATCTATCTATCTATCTATCTATCTATCTATTGTTTTCGCTTGTTTTACGGCATATCAACCTCAATGAGTTATTTAATGCCGACAAGTCTTTTCATATCTATCTATCTATCTATCTATCTATCTATCTATCTATCTATCTATCTATCTATTTCAGTCTTTTCAGATCTATCTATCTATTTCAGTTTTTCAGATCTATCTATCTATCTATCTATCTATCTATCTATCTAATGCTAATAGTTATTCTGCGGTTTTCTAGTACGATTTTGCTGTTGATATTATTGGTTATTTACTTAAATATATGCATCTCAAAATAAAGAAAATATCTCACCTACGTTGAAATATGTTCTCACCATCAAAGAAAAATCAATTTGATAAATGTCTCCAGAAGATAAAAAATATATTAACTTTCCAGATAACATATCATTATGGCGAACACAAAAAATAGCTCTTTTCATTCGCGGGTGCTTTAAAATATGTTTTTCAATTTCATTTCAGTGAACAAATAAACTGTCATTGAAATAAGGCCTCACAGAAAAGGAAATATGATTCAGTGTGTCTTTCTTCCATTGTTGCTATTCATCAATTCTCTTTCCATACATTTACGTAGCCTGAAAAAACATGCGGATACACACACATATATGTAATGATATATAATTAATTGTAGAGCCGCAAATGACGTTTCCATCCATTTAGGTTAATTGTAATTTGTAGGGACATTCCAAAGCGGGCTTTTAGTCCATATGAGAGCTCTATGAATAATACTCATAATAATTAGAAAACAAAAACTTAAAATTCAATATTTGTTAATAAATTTATTTCGATGATTATAGGTATATTAAGCTCATCAGATCGATTACATTTTCTGAAATAGAATCAATATATCCAGACAGACAGATATAGAAAAATAAAAAAAGAAAGAAGGAAAAAATAAAAAAATGAAACAACAAAAAAGAAATAAGGTAGAAACGTTTTCTTATGCTAGGCTCTTCCTTTAAGAAGAGATCACAAATTAATATGACAGGTAAGAGAAGGTAAAGTGAGAGGAAGGTAAAATTTAAGAGGCACAAAATGTCAAACTCTATAAATTTAGGGAGTTAAAGTGGCGTCTGTATAGACTGTAGCATCATCATCATATAATACAATCATCATCACATAATACTGCTATTAAAATAATAACATTAAGAAAAATAAGAAAATATAAGAAAAATCTGATGTAAAACATAAAAAATAGATATAACAAAAAATATAAAATAAAACACGAAAGAAAATCATAATATCTAATAATAAATAATGTATATATATATATATATATATATATATATATATATATATATATATATATATATATACATATAAAATAATAAATAAGTGGAAAAATAAATACATATAATAATAATATTAAAATTAGCTATTTGGTAATGATAAGAAATACTATAGACGATTTGAGAGCATCAGTATGAGGATTATATATATAATCAAAAACATCACAAGACACCACGACATATATATATATATATATATATATATGTGTGTGTGTGTGTGTGCGTGTTTGTATGTGTATATATATATGTGTGTGTGTATGTGTGTGTTTTTATGTGTGTATATATATCTGTGTGTGTATGTGCGTGTTTGTATGTGTATATATATGTGTGTATGTGTGTGTTTGTATGTGTATATATATATATATATGTGTATTTGTGTGTGTATGTGCGTGTTTGTATGTGTATATATATATATGTGTGTGTGTGTATGTGTGTGTTTATATATATATATATATATATATATATATACGTTTACTGATTGATTCTGCGTTGGATTTTCCTCACTTACCAAAAAATCGTCGGCTGTTTGTTCCATTTTCTTAAACTCGACACAACAGTATTTTCTTCCCTTGACACAACAGAACAGTTTTTCTAAGCGTATGCAATTTATTTGTAGTTTTTTTTTACTGATCTCAACTTACACCATGAAACTCTACTGTCATGTTCATCTATTTCTTAATGGTTTCTCTTCTGTGGAGTTAACCGCTTATTTTACCATTTTTTTGTTCTTTAGAAAAACCTTTCACACACAAACACACACACACACACATATATATATATATATATATATATATATATATATATATATATATTGCGTGTAACAGTAAAATTGTCCAAATTAATTTTAATATCTAAAAACGATACTAAGAAAATTTAGTTTGTTTTTTCAGGTTTTCAGTCGTTTAGCCATCTTGTCGTAATTATGATTGAAAAAAACTTTGAGTTATTCAGCTAAAAAGAGCGTAGTTTAAAATTGTTTATTTGTCAACGCCACTAACTTTCCAACTTAGACGAAAAAGATCATTCCGACCTTCAGTAATGGTACCAACATTCACACTCTGGCTTCATCTACTAAGTTCATTCAAAAACTATCAAGGAAACGGTGAATAAGTTTAAAAAAGAGATCATCATTTCAACTTAGAGCTAAACATATTCTTATTGTTCAAAGTAGAATCCAGTAATGTTAGAAAAAGCCGGAGAATTCCAGTAAGATATTTTTAATCATTTCTAAGATATAACGGTTCAAATCTTAATCTAACAATTGGACACGTTTCCTTAGGTTTTGAATTCAAAGTTTTCCTTCACGTAAACCAGTTTCCACCCAAGACAGTCTTGTTATTTACCAATAGATGGGAGGAGTAGAGATGGATTCACACCTCTCTCAATGGTATTTGCAATGTAGCGAACAGGACTGGAATTTGAACTCGGCTATTCTAGTTCTCAATCCGTTATTCTTTTCTCGACCCTGCTTCCATATATATATATATACGTGTGATAAATATTTATGATATCTGATTCGTACCTCTCTTTATCCCATTTGGTATTATCCGACATTTTATTATCCGACACGATACAAGTCTTGAAGTTTAACTATTTTTTCTCACTAATGACTGACATGGAGACATATTTTTCATCATTTTGTGTCCCATTTCGACTTCTCTTAAATTTACACCCATGTGCAAATTAATTGAAACAACAGCTTTAGTTTTCTTTCTTTCAAAATGCGGTTAGGTTTAAACTCACTGGAGTGTCAGTGTGAAATTGATTTCCATTTTTTTTCTTAGATTACGTCATTTACAGTGGTGTTCAGTAATATCAATTTATTTTCGGGGTGTATTGATGAAATTTGTTTGGCCTTAAAAAATATTGCGTCATCCATGATTGCTTCTGATTTTGATCATGCCCAGACACTACTGTCTCGAGTGTCGATTAGTTGTCCTACGATCATTATCTGCGATGAACGTTACTCGAAAGAAGCGTGCAAAAATTGTAACGTTGTACGAGCACAATGACAAACCTTACCAGTGAGCAAATTCAAGTACTATCGATTGGCTTGGAATCTCTTCTGATTTAAATCAACTCGAGAATCTGTGGTCAATCTGCAAGGAAAAAATTTGTGGAATGGACATACAAAGTACTAACATGTGCACTGGGTCATATTTTGAAAAATACGAAAAAATGTAGTTAATAACGGAATTATTGGTTTTGTTACAATTAATTTGTCCAAGGGTGTAATTAAAGACAATCTTTTTTTAAAGACTTATTTGAGAACGGATTGTAATAGTTGGAATTAAAATTATTTCACCCTCTTAGTTGGAGGCCTTGTCTAACTGCTAACATTAGTGCTCAAGTTTGTTTTACATCAGTCATTTCACCACAAACAAAGTTTTAAAGCCACTAAGACGCAAGGGGGTTAGTAAGTGAAAACTAATATTTTAAAAAAAAAGACATTATCAAGGAGAAAGAACAATAAAAGTATAGGAATTAAGAAGACAGAAGATGACGATAGACATTTCATTTAAATTTTTGTACTTTAACGCTGACTGGAAAGCAAGAAGCCGGAAGAGAATCCTACAAGTGAGCAATGTAATAGAAGAAACTGTTAGCATAGAACTTACGGTTACATATAGCCAATTCAGCTGTAAGGTGATGAGACTTTGTTTTTCAATCAAGTACCGCGCTTAAATTCATAAAGTCATGGGAGAGAAAGAAAAAGAATTTACAAGAGAGAAGATATCGATTGACATTGCATTTACATTTTTGAAGATCAAAGTTGACCTGAAATTAAAAAAAACCGGATAAGATTTCCACAAGCAAGAAGTGCGAGGGAAGAAACTGTTAGCATAGAACTCACGATTATATTTTCTCTTTTAATCGAATTTAGTACCGCGCTTAAATTCAGAAATTCTAGGTACCAAAGACGAAAGTTCTTGAGAAAAATTGGCATGGAAGGATTTATAGAAAAGCACAGGAAATATACGTTGTGGTGATGGGAAAGTGAATGAGGCCTGGATAACAGGTCAGATCCCATAACATAGCAGATTTTTTTTCTCCTCGACCTCTAAAATGCATAGCAGAAAATCCATACCAGTTGCGGTAGCAATATTCAATGCATTAGCAAATGGTTGAATTATCAATATGTCAGATAGATTCTGCCGAGAAAGATTGTCTGGCACAATACAGTTAACAAAATTTCCTACCGGTAAACCTAGCAATTGTTTCAATATAACCTTTCCAGTTCTGGTCAATGGAAAACATTCGCCCGACAACGGAGAAGCCATTTTCCCGGAGGTTAGCATCAGCCGCACTGATGGAAGTCTAAACACGTTCTCTCAGACGATTAAAAAATTTAGTTTCGTTTAGGGGCCGTTCAAATTAAAACGTTGTTCCTTGACACAGTTAACAGCAGATGGTACATTCTTTCTTTTAGATCAGCTACCAAGGTAATCATATCGAATCGATATTTTTGAAACAAGAAATCTCAATAGCTTAAAAAAAAACAAAAAAAAAACGCAGTACATGCCTGAACGCATCTAGTGTATAAAATGTCGTTTGTTTTCTAAAATATTTTGTAAGTTTTACCTTTTCGCCTTGACAGCCGTTTCAGTATGGACAGGCATAATTGCCATGAAGCTAAAAATATTTTGCTGCAAACTTAATGACCTAGTCGTCCTTGATAGCATTAACAAGAGCCTCAAATCTGGCTGCCTGTTTTCATGTAATCGCATATATATTGGGGTACCTCGGCGTGGTGTAATGGTTAGTGAGTTTGTCTCCCAAAACAGTTACAGCTGAGTAGTGAGTTCGAACCTCACTTGGTGCTCTATACATTCGGCTTTGTGCCACATTTAATCTGCGCTTAGGAAATCAATTTATTAACTGTAAGTGTTTTAAGATATTCTGCAT